ATGTTGGGGAAAATGTACGTGACAAAATCTTTGGCCATTTTAGGGAGGTTTTTTGAGAGACCCCAGGGAAAAGGGGGCTCTCCTGGACAGTTATTTTTTCGAGGGGCGGAACCCTCTGACTCCTTTAAAAGGGGGTATTGGGGCATTAACCCCCCTTTAGGGTTTTCCCAAACCAAAAAACTGGAAGTGGTGCTCCCGTGTCCCAAAAAATTTTGAAAAAAAAAAAAAAAAAAAATTTTTTCTTCAGAAATTTAAAAAGATATTTTGTGGAAAGGGAAAAGGGCAAAAAAAAAATTTGTCAGTTTTACCGAGAAACTTGCCCAAAAAGTTTGTCAAAAAATGATGTGGTGGCGGCAACATCCCGGGGAAATTTCCCCATACCCCGCATTACATTTTTTTTTGCCGGGTTTTTTTGTTTTTTTTTTTTTTTTTCTTTTCCCAATTTTTTTTTTATTTTCCCTTCTAAATTTGGGGCCCGAGAGACCAATATTGTTTAAAAATGTATATATATAAATCACTGTATTTAAAAAACAATACCCGCCACCAAAAAGTTATTATATATTATTGTTTACCCCTGTTGTTTATTACAATTTAAAAATGCCCAATCTTGTATTTTTACTAATGTTCTATCATATATTTCATATTTAAATAAAGGACGGTTTTAGAAACGGTGGAGCTTGTGGAAAATCCCTTGAAACAAAGGAACCCTGCCCGAGGCACCTTAAATTCCTCAACTTTAAACCCCAGTTTTTCTTTGCGTCTTTGTTTCCCGTCGTTTTGTTTGTGCACAGCGATTTTATCTTTCTGAGCAAATTTTTTCTGAGTTGAAAAGGGAAATTGTATTATGAAAAGATCCCCCTTTTTTCCCCAAAAGCCCTTTGGGGATATCTGAAAGGGAAATTTGGGGACCGTGTGGTTTTAGAGGTGGTTTTACCTGGTACTTCATTATGGGTTTTCTGACAACCCGACAAAACAAAAAATTTTCCATACGGGGGTCTGTTGCCTGTCTTTATTTTGGTTTCATATTGTATGCATTTTAGATTGAAAAAGTCCATGAGATGGAAGGGAAAATTTATTTTACCACTTTTAAAACTTACGAACCCCAGTCAACAAAAACCAATCTGCATGTCACATTTTTCAACCCCCAAACGCATGTTTTTGTGTTAAATCAATCACTGTCACTGGGGTTTTCGAATAGTTTTTTTTTAGTCCCCCCCGATCAAATTTCCCCCCACTTTTTGTTTTTATTACCCGGGGAATGGTTGTCAAAAATGTGACATCTCGTTTGTCATGCCAAAAGTTAAAGCCATGATGTCTATTGGCAAAAAACCCCCTGCCCCGTTCCCTCACCACGAGCCCTGCCTTGAGCCTGGGGATATGTTTTTTTATTTTGAAGCATGTGCCACACCATAGTTTTTGTTCACTCCCCCATTTTAAAAACACTTTTTAATGGGGGGTTTGTACCGTTTTCGGGGAAAAATTGTATGCCCCCTTACCCAAGGGTATTTGGGGCTATGTTTCTCACTGGGCAAAAGAGATACCCAATTTAAAATCTTGGGGATCTTTCAATGTTTTACTACCCGTGTTTTCAAACATATCCAAACCAGGCCACTGTCCCCAATCAAGAGTAAAAAACAGTTTTATACCAAAGCGTTTTCCCCTTGCTCCGGGTTTTCCTGCTTTAATGACAGTCTACCTTTGGAAAAAAAAATCCAAAGGGCTCTTCAATTACAATTTTTGAATGGAAAAAAAGTTATGCCCGGAAAAGTTTTTTTTGGAGGGTAAAAATTTAAAAATTTCTAAATCTTGTTAACCTGTCACTTTGGTTCCCGGCCCGGTTTTGTTTAGAGAAGTGAACTTATGTAAAAAGTAAGTTTTAAAACCCGTTCACTGGTATGATTTCACTGAAATGGCCCCGGGGTAGAAAAATTTGCCATCCCGTGGACCAGTTGCTTTTATTTTTTGCTTTTTAGACGTGAGGCATAAACATTAATTTTTTTGCAAAAAACCCAAAAACATTTTTGCAAAAGTCGTCTCTTTCCCCCCTGTTTTGGGAGTTTGACTGTGGTGTTAAAATAGTTTTTGCCTGGGGGTACCCCAAAAAAACTTATTTCTTTCCCCGAAAATTTAAATTTTCCCTCAATGGCTGGGTTTAAAAGAATAATTTAAAGAATTCCAGTTCATTGGGGCCCGGGTTCCAAAGGGGAACCCAAGGGGTTTGGAAAAATTTTCCCCCTTTGAGAGTCATCAAAAATGGTGAGGCTTTGGGGAAAAAAATTGGGGTTTTGTGCCCCAAACTCACGTACGGTTTTTCTGGTTTGGTTCTGGACATCATTGGTTGGGTTTTGCGGGTTTGGGTTTTGGTTGTGGTGGGGTGGTGGCTGGCGCTCCGGTTTGGCCTTGAACGACCCAACGGGCAGCAGCCCTGGGTCCCAGCGTGGCCCGGTGAGTCACGCCCTGGCGGTTTTCCACTAAACCCTCACCACTAAACCCCCATCCACTGATTTCCCGGTTTTGGGGGTTTTACCAAGCTAAGGTTTAGCCACATCATTTTCACTTCCCCTACCTAAAAAAAGGGGTTTTTGGGGCCCCGGGGAAAGTTTTCCGGGATGTAATCCATCCCCCGGGCACAAAATAGGGTAATACCCGAAACGCCAAAGCCCGGGGGAGAAAAATTCCCGGGCGCTTCACTGGTGAAAATTTTATTTTACTATCACTAAATCAAATGATCGTCGGCGCAATAAAATCAAGTCCACGTCACTTCATCATCATTAAATGAAGTCGAGGCCCTGGCCCGCGAAAAAATATTAGTTTTTTTCTTGGGGAGAGGAAAAAACTTTACCGTGGGTCACGAGTGCCACACCAGAGGGAGAAGGTTGAGGTCGGGCAGGGTTTTCTGCACTAATTTATCGATATCCTGGGTCATTCTTTTCGGTTTACGTAAATGATTTAAAGCCGTTGGAAATTTGTTCTTCATTTTCCCCTTCCATCGTGCCCGAACTTCAGAAGGGAAAAGGGGGGAGTCCCCCCAAATTTTTCCCGGGGGGCGGGGGAGAAAACTGACTTGGACGCCCGGGATGGTGAAAAAAGGGTAACTGAGCCGGCGTTCCCACAATGCTATGCGGGCGGGCCCAGAAATTTTTTGTTTATGGCGCAAAACCCACCACGCCGGACCCCTTTTCCCCCCACATGTAGGGGCCTTTTGAGCCGTTTTTTGCCCCTTTAAAATTTTACGGCGCTAGAAATTTGGCGTAGAATTTTACGGTTTTGGGCACTCAAGTGGAAGCCGTTTGATTCCCATTTGGGGCAGACCCTGAAAGGGTTTTAAAAAACAGGAAGGAAGCAACCCCAGAAAAGCAATTGGTTTCCTGAGGTGTTGCTGGAAGGGGATTCCCCCTTTCCCAAAATGAAAACAATCCAATTTTCTCTCCCCTCCAGGCTCCCATACACTCTGAAGAAACTTCCCCAAAAAAGGTAAGTGTAAAGCTGTTAATGTTTCATTCAAAAATTTCCCATTGTATTTTTTTAAGTACTACAATTCCATATTTCATGTAAAAAATTTTTTGTTTTTTTCCCTTTTGGGTGTCAGGAACGGAAATTTAAATTTTATTTTTCATTATTTCCCTTTGGGGGGGAAAAATTTATTCGCAAAAATCTACATATGACAATTGTCAACTTAATTTACCTCAACCAACAGTGTGGAAAATTCTGAGAAAATGTCTTGCCTTTCATCCTTACAAATTATAAATAAGAAACAGAATACAGAGGGATCTCATTAAAATTCAGTAGCTTGAAAGAACTTTGAGTTTCTTATTTGTATACCTATCTTAATTTTTACCTTGGTATTGTTAATTTTCCATAACAAATATTTAAGATTAGATAATTTTTAATTAGCTTATATATACATGTACATGTACGTATATAAGTTAAGCATGACAGAATTTAATGGTCGAACAAGATACAGTGGACCCCGGTATTCGATATTAATCCGTTCCTGAGAGCTCATCGAATACCGATAATATCGAAAACCGAATCAATTTTCCTCATAAGAAATAATGAAAATCAAATTAATCCGTGCAAGACACCCAAAAGTATGAAAAAAAAATTTTACTACATGAAATATTAAGTTTAATGCAATAGAATAATTACAATAACAATAAATTAATTGACACTTACCTTTAATGAAGATCTGGCGATGATTGATGGGATGGAAGGAGGGGAGAGGTGTTAGTGCTTAGAAAGGGAATCCCCTTCCATTAGGACTTGAGGTAGCAAGTCCTTTTCCAGGGTTACTTCCCTTCTTCTTTTAATGCCACTAGGACCAGCTTGAGAGTCACTGGACCTCTGTCGCACAACAAATCTGTCCATAGAGCTCTGTACCTCCCGTTCCTTTACGATTTGTCTAAAATGGGCCACAACATTGTCATTGTAATAGCTGTGTTAGGGTGATTTTCACCCATAAAGGTTTGCACTTAAACCCACTGTGCACACATTTCCTTAATTTTTGAAGTAGGCACAATGTATTCCACAACTGGTATAGGCTTCTCAGGGTTAGCCCCAAACCCTTCAAAATCTTTCTTAATTTCCATACTAATTCTCACCCTTTTTACCAAAGGGTTGGCACTAGAAGCTTTCTTGGGGCCCATGGTGACTTATTTTGCAGAAACAAGCACCAAACACAGTGATAATATGGAATGTACCGAATGTATCCTTAGATGCGCGCACACTGGCTGGCTTTGTAAACACTGGCACACAAGGGGCAGTTCAGGCCACATGTGGACAGGTCTCGTACGAATCGTATCGAATACCGGGTTTTCAATCGAATACCGAGGAAAATTTTTTGCGATATAATGCATCGAATACCGGATTTATCGAATACCGATGCTATCGAATACCGGGGGTCCACTGTATATGTAGTACATATGTGTTAAAAGAGAGAGATTCTTTTATCTTAGGTTCCATATGATTTTTTTTTTATCTATTTCCTTTGGGTCTCTAACAGGTACTGCAAGATTTACCTGTGAAGAGAACGAGGCAGGGGCTCTCCTGAAGACGAGACATGTGTCGTTCTGCCAGCACTTCTACACTCTGAGGCCGCCAAGGGAATCTCTGAAGATATAAAAACAGTATGTATTGAAATTTATTTCTTGACACAATCATTTGTGACTAGTTTTAAATTATTATGCAATATCAAGAGTGCTGTAATCACTAGGCAGTGAATATTAATCTAAAATGCCAAAATTTTGTGCACATTTTAGAAACATGCCAAATCAGCAACTTATCGCTAATACATGGCATTTGCTTTTCCATTTCCCCTGCCCCTCAAGGGAGGGGTGTTGATCAAAGGGAATTTGGGATTATTCTTCCTTTCTTGACTTAAACCTATTGCTGCCCATTTCTCAGGTGCTGTATGACCCCTACAGGTTCAGTACTCCCATGACTTTAATTAATAAATAATAATAATTCTCCATTCCTAAAGGTAGATTAAAAATAGTTGGCCTTTAAACCAATAAAGAATGAACTTTTCTTTGGAAAGTCAGGTTTGTTGCAAGTCAAAAAAAAGTTTTGCCTCTCTGATTTAATCCAATATGAGGAAGGGTTTTATGTCTTCCATTATGGGATCAAAGCTGTTACCCCCCTTTTCTCAAATGTGTATGACTCATGATTTTGCACTTTCCTCATGAATATATTAATAATAATAATACAAAAAAAGTGTTTAAATTTGTGATACTGATCAACTATTAAAGGTTCAGCAATTTTTTTATGAAAATAATTCCCTAAACTTTTTGCCCTTCAGAACTTAAGCCCCTTCAGGGAGGGGGCCTTGTGCAAAAGGTTTTTGATTAAGGCCCCTGGGGTTTTGTGCTTAGCTTGGTTATAATAAAAATTTTGATTTAAGGGAAACCAGAGCATTCCCCCCCCTTCCCTTGGATCAAACCTGATGGTTTCATTCTTCAGGCACTATGACAATGGGTCTGGCATTTCCCCAGAACCTAACCCCATCTTTAAACCTTTTAAACCATCTTTAAATTGGTCAACCAATTACCCCCCATTGCACAAGTCACTTAGACCCTAAAATTTTTTTGTGTTTACCTTCCTCTCCAAATGCCTTCTTAGTAAAAAACCAAAACATTTTTTAAATTTCCCAAAACGATGGAACCCCTAAGTCAGGACCTTAGAGTTTTTTCGCCCATCTGTGGTGTAAACAGAGTTGTCTGGAGCAAGAAAACTGTGTTGGGATGCCCTTCATTTAGAATGTAGCTAGTCATCCCGGGACCCTTTTCCTCCAAGTAAATCAGCCCGGCTAGTGTTGTGGTAGTCTGCCATGATTTTCCTCCTAAAAGAAAGTTTTTATTTAGCCTTTGAGTAAAAATGCAATTTTTTTTTTTTACAATGGTCTTGTGGGCGATAATGTTTTGGGCAAAAAAAAAGAACGTATGTAGATTTAGCCCAATAAGTCAAACTATGTGTTTTATTTTAAAAGGGGGTCCCTAATTTAAAATTAAGGGGGGATTTTTTTCTGCCCAAGAGAAACCCTTTTGTCTTCATTATTGGAAAATATGAGATCTACATTTTTTTTTTTCAGTTGGTCAGCTTTTTACCGGGGCAAATTAAAGGGGATCTATTGCAAATGTTTAATAATTCTGTAAGACTTTTTCCAAACAAACCCAGGGGGACTGCAGTTATGTCCTTGCTATATTTCCCTCCAATGTACTAAAATTTAAAAAATGCCAAGCAGCGGTTTTTTGGGGGAGGGGTCTAAAAGGTTTTCAAGCCCATGCTTAATCCAAAAATTTTGTCCTTGAACTGCTGGGAAAATTTATATACAGCAAACAATGCATTAGGTTTTTTTTTTTTTTACTACCAAAATCTTATTTCCCTTTTTTGCTTTTAACAGATTGCACCGGAAACTATATTTTACTTTCAAAATAGTATTTTAGGTGGGTCTCTGTGAAAACTGCAAACAATGATTGATTTCCCCAATTATTATACTAATACATTTTTTTTTTTTAAAAAGTCCGCCATCTCCCACCCAGGCAGGGTTTACCCAAAAAAGAAAGAAAATCCCCAAAAAGAAAATTTTCTCTCATTAAAAACTTTACCTCACTCCCCATAATCATGTTTTTCAGAGGTGCTCGAACACAACAGTTTAGAGCATTAGTTTTAAAAAATACACAACATACCCTCCAAATGCTAATTCCCCAAACCCCTACTATGAGTGCAGGCATTGTATTCCCTTTCCAGGACTCAAATTTGGTGTTTAAAAATAACCGTTTTCTGAATCCCTTTACTAAATATTACCCTGCCACACTCCAAAATTTTATCAGGTCCCAAAAAACATTTGTCTCCATTCACTCCTATCGAAACATTCTGCAGCGTGGAAGTCTAAAACCCCCCGCCATAAAAAAACCCCTCTTACCCCTTTCTTCCAACCCTTTTTGAGGATGACCCTTCCCGCCTTCCTTCCCCTACAGTTTAAAGTCTCCCTGCATTTACTTTGTCCATTCTCTGTAAATGAAAAAAACCACTCAACAACCCCCCTTCAGCCTTTGTTAATTTCTTTTATTTAAATCCCAAACCTTTTAATTTTCCCACTCTGAAATTTTTTGCATAAAATTTACACCAACATTGCCCATGAAAACCCAAGCTTCACACCATTCGAGGTTGGTGCTACTTACTTTCATACATTCCTTCTTTTCCCCATAGATAATGTTTTTTTTTTTCCACTTTTACCCCAAAAACATCACTCCCTTTTTCCCCCATCAATTTATGAGTAACCTATCCCTTTATAAATCCTCCCCCGAGCTAACTCCCCAAATATCTGAAAAATTCACTTCTTCCTTACTCCTCCTCCCCAAATTTGATATCCAATTTTTTTTTATCTAAATCTTTTATACCCTCTCACCTTCTCTTTTTTGTTCCTTTCAACTTTCAACTTTACACCCACTCAAACTCATCCTAACCCTTTTCAATTTTTCTTTTGAATCTCCCCTAAGCCCGTATCTCGCAAAAAGCAACTTGTCAATTCCATTTTTTATTTGATTCCCCCTATTTAATCCCCCCCCTCTCCCAAACACCTAGCTTTTTTTCTTTTAAACCCATCTATAAAAAAAATTAAACAACCATGGTGACATTTCACATCCCCGTCTAAGACACTTTTACGGGAGTGCTTTCCCCCTCTTCTAAAACCAAAAACCCGGCCTCACCATTCATAAAAGCTCTTTACGCATTTAGTAATTACCACCCATTCCCTATACTTGCAAAAATTCCACATTGCTCCCTTCACTCTTATATGCCTTTTTAAATCCATAAATGCAATAAAAATTCCTACCCTTTTTCTAAATCTGTACAATATGCTTAATGAAACACTTGTTTAACATCCCCCACCCCCTCTGAAAACCCTTTTCATCGCAATCCTACATTCTGATTCTGTCTTACCTTAATTCTTTTAATTTAACCCTCGTAAAATTTTTCCCGGTTACTCGTAAACTTATTTCCCCTAAAATTACAATCTCTTTTCCCCCTTTCCCCTTTATAAAAGGGACTATACATCCTCTCTGCCCCTTTCCTAGGGGACCTTCCCTCTATCTAATTTTATTTAAAAAAAAATACCAAACCCCTCCAAAACTATATCCCCCCCGCTTTTCCCCCTTTCATTCATGTAATGCCCCACACACCTCCCCCACTACTCACATCTGTTTTTCATCCCAAAAGTGGTATACCTCCCCGGCCCGTGCATGAAAATTTCCGCCCCCCCTTTCTTCGTCGACATTTAAAAGTCCCCAAAATATTCTGCCTCTACCCAAAACCCCATCTCCCCCAATATAACCCCCTACTCTGTTTTAACTGCAAAACCTTACTCATATATATGTATATATAATAATAAAAACCCCTCAAGTAAAAAAATCCTTTGCTTCCCGAAGGTAAACGTTACAAAATATTTTTAAAATACCCCCTAAAGGAATTGGGTCATGTAAGCCAATCGCATGGTTTTGGGAAATTTTTAAGGAGCTGAAGTAGTAGCAAAACTAAAAAGCAAAGAGACTGCATCAGCCAGTGAAATACATTTTAAGCCTGGGAGAATTCAGAAAATTTAATGAGATAAAAATAAACACATTATTAAAGACCTTCCATTCAAGTGAAAGGCTCTTGGTCCATAAAATTAGAGTTATCCTCTCCGAGGACAGAACCTGATTTTCTTCTCTTCTCCAGGCACTGTATGATCAGTATGGGCTTTGCACATCCCTCGAATGTAATAATACAATACACGTGTACATGTCCGTTCCTGGCTCATCATCTTACTATTCTCCATCATTCTACTACCATTCAGTGTTATCCATCATTTCATTATCTTCCTTCTATCACAGAATTCCACCATTTCACTACCACGCAATTCTCCATCATTCCACAATCTTAGAACTCTGAGCAACCCTCCATTTCACAATTATCTCACTTCCCCTCCATCGTTTGACTATCCTCTCCATCCCATTATCTTTCACCTCTATCACTCCACTATCATCCTACACATTCCATTACTCCACACATCAATCATCGCACTTACTCCACTGTCACCCCACATTCATTCCATTATTATCCCACACACTTCACTATCACTTATTCTATCATCCCACACACTGATTCCATTTTCATCCTCGACACTTCTGGAGTATAACTGCCCCTCAAGGAAGGTTCCTTGATGTTGGTGAGGGGCTCTTGATTTAGGGAATTGGATCTGTGCTCCAGTTCCCCGAATTAAGCCTGAATGCCTTCCACATCCCCCCCCAGGCGCTGTATAATCCTCCGGGTTTAGCGCTTCTCCCTTGATTATAATAATAATAATGGAGCATAACTGGAGACTCCACTAACATACTTATTCCAATATCATGCCACCCACTCAATCTACTATCCTACATATACCACTATCACCCCACACATTCCATCATCCCAGATTCATTCTATTATCCACTACCATCCCACGCACTCCACTATTAACCCACACGTTCCACTAATTATCCCACACAATGGTCTATATAACTGATGCTACTGCTATGAGAGCAGTGTTAACACTGCCATACTCTTCTACCCTTCATTCCTATCTCTCACTCACTCCACCTCTATTCTCTCTTCCGCATCCCTCTCTTCCCCCAGTCACTCCATTATCTCCTTACCAACCTACCTGTCTGAACTAATAAAGATGATTTGAAAATCTCGTTCATTGTTCTTGAGTTTAGCGTAGGCGGTCGCCAGCTGTGGGGTGAAGGCTTTGCACGGGGGACACTGCCAATGTAAATATTTACAATTAATACTCCGGAAACAAATGAGAAATACAGGCACCTGAAAGAAATTACAATAGGAAATAAGGTATTTTAAATGGCGAGAGCCGACAAATGGTGACTCACACAGTTTTCAGCTTAATATCTTTATTATGCACCCCCCATACCCATCATGTGGGCGGCAGTCAATACTGAGGTACATAATAGGTCCAGACAGCTTTGTATTCATGGACGCTTCGTACGTTATGCAGCTTTCTAACCTGGCTATGATGTCTATATGGCCTTAATAATAATAATAATAATATTTCTACATATACAACGCATGCAGACATAGCTGACATCAATGACATACTACTATATAGAAAGCCCCTTGTTATGCAGAGCATTTCGGGAAAAATTTGGTCAATTTTGTCCCAGGATGAGACCCACACCAGTCGACTAACACCCAGGTACCTATTTTACTGTTAGGCAAACAGGGGCAGCAGTTGTTTTAAGGAAACACATCATAATGTTTTATATATATTAAATGAGTGGACCTGAAATGTGTATTGTTTACCTGACCATACAAGTATGGTACTGTCTAAACCAATTTCAGCTAAATGCTCGGCGTTTCCTGTACTTCACAGGCAACATATCTTGCATTATCTTCATTTGGACGGGTAGCTTGATGACTATCTCTGGCAGTACGGATTGTATGGAGATGTCAATGACACTAAATGCAAAGTCACACACATCCAACCTTTCAGACATCTCCATGTAAACCTTACAGGATAGCAAAACACCTCATTGTTATTGAGATGATATCTGAAATGTTGAGGTTGCATCCACATTTTGCATCGACTATATAATAGACAAACTGTCTAAAGAGACTGCAACTCAGTTCTAACCATTTTTTAAAGTGGTTATAAGATACCATTTTTTTAAAGATTGTATTCCCTACTGTACTGTGTACAATAACTATATGAAGTAATTGTTAAATACGAAATGATTAATATTCCTTTCTTGTGAAGTAACTGGGAACCTTGACCTATACTCCCTGGAACCCAGGCGATTAAGATACACGATAATATACACCTGGCAAATCTTAAGAGGGACTAGTCCCAAATCTGCACACAGAAATCACTCCTTACGAAAGCAAAAGACTAGGAAGGCGGTGCAGCATCCCCCCAATGAAAAGTAGGGGCGCCATGACTGTAGGGGCCCAAGACTGTTCAACTGCCTCCCAGAATACATAAGGGGGAATTACCAATAGACCCCTGACTGTCTTCAAGAGGGAGCTGGACAGGCACCTAAAGTTCCCGACCAACCGGGTAGTGGTTCGTACGTCGGTTTGCGTGGGGCCAGCAGTAACAGCGTGGTTGATTGGGTCCTGATCCACCGCGGTCTCGTCATGGACCGGCCTGCGGGGGTGTTGACCCCCAGAACACCCTCCATGTATGTTCAGCGTGGTCTGACACAGACCAATTTTGACCTTTGTAATGCTTTTATTTTTGTTCTACTGCTGACAAGCTGAGCAACGGGTGCACAATAAACTAAGCCGCTCAGGCGGCACTAACAACTGTACTCCCACACCCTCACTTCATATGACTAAGTGATTCCATCAGTGTATTTTAAAGATTTTGTACTATTCTTGTAACATTGGCGTATTACAAACGTTTATGATTTTCGGATATTTATTTTTTTTTTTTTTTTTTTTTTTTACAAAATTTTGGGTTGAGTGTTAACCCTCAACAAAATGCTATAAAAATATGATTATTATTTTCGCGGAGAAGTAATAAACCCGTGGGAGTCATACAGTGCTTGAGGAATGGGAAGTAATCAGGTTTGATCCAAGGAGGTTACCCGGAGGCTATTCCGGGGATCAACGCCCCCGCGGCCCGGTCCATGACCAGGCCTCCCGGTGTATCAGGGCCTGATCAACTAGGCTGTTACTGCTGGCCGCACGCAGTCCAACATACGAGCCACACCCCGGCTGATCCGGCACTGACTTTAGGTATCTGTCCAGCTCTCTTTTGAAGGCAGCCAGGGGCTTATTGGCAATTTCTCTAATGCTTGATGGGAGGCTGTTGAACAGTTTTGGGCCCCGGACACTTATGGTGTTTTCCCTTAGTGTACCAATGGCGCCCCTACTTTTTATTGAGGGCATTTTGCATCTCCTGCCCAGTCTTTTACTTTCGTAGGGAGTGATTTCTGTGTGCAGATTTGGGACCATTCCCTCCAAGATTTTCCATGTGTAGATTATGAAATATATCTCCCTCCTGCGTTCCAACGAGTACAAGTCAAGTGCTTCCAAGCGTTCCCAGTAGTTAAGGTGCTTGACAGAACTTACACGTGCAGTAAAGGATCTCTGTACACACTCTAGATCTGCGATTTCACCTGCTTTAAATGGATATGTTAATGTACAGCAGTATTCCAGCCTAGAGAGAACAAGTGATTTGAAAAGGATCATCATTGGCTTGGCATCTCTCGTTTTGAAAGTTCTCATTATCCATCCTATCATTTTCTTTGCACGTGCGATCGTGGCACTGTTGTGATCCTTGAAAGTGAGAAAGGATACTTCCAGTTCCTTTGATTAAAACAATCCCCACATATATATATATATTATATATAATATATATATATATATATATATATATATATATATATATATATACCATGGTTGTCACCGTGGTTGTTTAATATATTTATAGATGGGGTTGTAAGAGAAGTAAATGCGAGGGTCTTGGCAAGAGGCGTGGAGTTAAAAGATAAAGAATCACACACAAAGTGGGAGTTGTCACAGCTGCTCTTTGCTGATGACACTGTGCTCTTGGGAGATTCTGAAGAGAAGTTGCAGAAATTGGTGGATGAATTTGGTAGGGTGTGCATAAGAAGAAAATTAAAGGTGAATACAGGAAAGAGTAAGGTTATGAGGATAACAAAAAGATAAGGTGATGAAAGATTGAATATCAGATTGGAGGGAGAGAGTATGGAGGAGGTGAATGTATTCAGATATTTGGGAGTGGACGTGTCAGCGGATGGGTCTATGAAAGATGAGGTGAATCATAGAATTGATGAGGGGAAAAGAGTGAGTGGTGCACTTAGGAGTCTGTGGAGACAAAGAACTTTGTCCTTGGAGGCAAAGAGGGGAATGTATGAGAGTATAGTTTTACCAACGCTCTTATATGGGTGTGAAGCATGGGTGATGAATGTTGCAGCGAGGAGAAGGCTGGAGGCAGTGGAGATGTCATGTCTGAGGGCAATGTGTGGTGTGAATATAATGCAGAGAATTCGTAGTTTGGAAGTTAGGAGGAGGTGCGGGATTACCAAAACTGTTGTCCAGAGGGCTGAGGAAGGGTTGTTGAGGTGGTTCGGACATGTAGAGAGAATGGAGCGAAACAGAATGACTTCAAGAGTGTATCAGTCTGTAGTGGAAGGAAGGCGGGGTAGGGGTCGGCCTAGGATAGGTTGGAGAGAGGGGGTAAAGGAGGTTTTATGTGCGAGGGGCTTGGACTTCCAGCAGGCATGTGTGAGCGTGTTTGATAGGAGTGAATGGAGACAAATGGTTTTTAATACTTGACGTGCTGTTGGGATGTGAGCAAAGTAACATTTATGAAGGGGTTCAGGGAAACCGGCAGGCCGGACTTGAGTCCTGGAGATGGGAAGTACAGTGCCTGCACTCTGAAGGAGGGGTGTTAATGTTGCAGTTTAAAAACTGTAGTGTAAAGCACCCTTCTGGCAAGACAGTGATGGAGTGAATGATGGTGAAAGTTTTTCTTTTTCGGGCCACCCTGCCTTGGTGGGAATCGGCCAGTGTGATAATAAAAAAAATAATAAAAATATATATATATACGTATATATATAACAATCTTGTGCCGAATAGATAAAACTTGCGATTTTGGCTTCAATAGCAACGCTCTTCTTGCCTAATAAGTTAAGTGAAAATTTGTGTATACAATAATTTCGCCAAAAAAATCTGAACCTAACGAAAAAAATATATTTCACTGTGTTGATTATTAAATTACTGTAAACTTTTCTAAAATATATTTAGTCGGATTACATTAAATTAAAATGCGCATTCAGGTTCGATCCTTGAATGAAGAGGGGAATTCTTACAAGAGTCTGGGTTTAACAGGGTCCTATTGACGCCCTAGTAGGACATCAGTGGGATCTTATTTTCAAGGTGGAGTGGTGCCGTGACCACATGGCGTCTGACAGGCAGCAGGTCCAGCCTTTAATTTATGCACATTTTGCAACATCCACGACAGTGTTTCGAAAATTAAACTGCAGCTAAAATTTTATATGAGAGCAATAGGACCAAGGTAACAGATTCAAGCCGAATAACCCAGAGGAACCACGGGGCTGTTAAAAAAATCAAATTAAGGCTAGTGTAAAGTGAAATAAGTTGATCAAGAGGTGGTGAAGCGAACTCTACACAGTTTTAGGGCTAAAAATTATACAAGCCCATAAGACCAGGCGTCAGTAAAGCCAGTCAATTGCGAATTATGAAGATGGACCAGGAGCTGAGTACACACACGTACATACACACACACACATGGACACAGGAGAGTGGTGGAGCACCTAGAACGGAACAAGCTTATAAACGAAAACCAGCACGGATTCATGGAAGGCAAATCCTGTGTCACAAACACACTGGAGTTTTATGACAAGGTAACGGAAGTAAGACGCGAAAGAGGGGGATGGGTAGATTGCATTTTCTTGGACTGCAAGAAGGCCTTTGACACAGTTCCTCAAGAGATTAGTGTAAAAGCTAGAGGATCAGGCACATATAACACAAAGGGCACTGCAATGGATCAGAGAATATCTGACGGACAGGCAACGAGTCATGGTACATGACGAAGTATCAGAGTGAGCGCCTGTGACAAGCGGGGTTCCACAGGGGTCAGTCCTAGGACCAGTGCTATTTTTGGTATATGTGAAAGACATGACAGCACAGATTCATGGAAGACAACACTGCAAAATTCACCTGCCACGAAAAACCATCTACCCTCAATGAGATAATCTACCAACTCAACAACCACGCATATGATTCCAACTCCCCCATCAACGTGCTACACCTCTCCAGAACAAGATTCAATGCAGTCTGCAGCGGATCATGTGTATAACCAATCACCTCCAAGCTGAAGTTCCCCAGCACTTTGCTATTTAGCTAAAGCTGGGGTGTGGCTCCAAAACGACCCTGTTTTCCTGGGCACCACCAGCCATCTCCTGCCAGGCATCTGAGTGCCAGCCCTACTCTACTGACACTGCTGCCACCAGCACATCTCGCTCCAACACAACCTCCTGCAGTACCTCTGCACATCACGCTCCAGAGTGGACGGGCCACTCACCTCAGCTACCCCACCGCCTACTTCACCCTCCCAACCTCTTCCATTTTTCCAGCCCTCCCCTCCCTCTTCCTTCCCATCCTCACCAACCCTCAGGTCAGAACCTCCAACCTCCATGACAGAAGGGATAGACTCAGAAGTGTCCCTGTTTGCAAATAATGTGAAGCGAATGAGGAGAATGAAATCGGATCAGGATCAGGCAAGACTACAAAGAGACCTGGACAGGCTGGAAGCTTGGTCCAACAATTGGCTCCTCGAATTTAACCCCGCCAAATGCAAAGTCATGAAGATCGGGGAAATAATACCGAACACATCTTCTGAGGCTCATATCAACCAGATAACTGCTGCAGGACATGGGCGCCTGGCAAAACTGAAAATAGCGTTCCGATACCTCAGCAAGGAATCGTTCAAAACTCTGTACACCGTGTACATAAGGCCCATACTGGAATATGCAGCAACCAGTTTGGAACCCACACCTGGTCAATCACGTCAATAAATTAGAGAAAGTGCAAAGGTTTGCAACAAGGCTAGTTCCAAAGCTAAGGGGAATGTCCTACGAAGAAAGGTTAAGGGAAACCGTCCTGACGACACTGGAGGACAGGAGGGTTAGGGGAGACATGATAACGACATACAAAATACTGCGAGGAACTGACAAGGTGGACAGAGACAGGATGTTCCAGAGATGGGACACAGAAACAAGGGGTCACAATTGGAAGCTGAAGACTGGGATGAGGCAAAGAGATGTTAGAAAGTATTTCTTTTGTCATAGAGTTGTCAGGAAGTGGAATAGTCTGGAAAGTGACGTGGTGGACGCAGGAACCACATAGTTATAAGACGAGGTATGATAAAACTCATGGAGCAGGGAGAGAGAGGACCTAGTAACGATCAGTGAAGAGCCGGGGCCAGGAGCTATGTCTCGACCCCTGCAACCACAAATAGGTGAGTACACACACACACACACACACAACACACACACACACACACACACACAAAACCTTGGATTCTCAAGCCTGCTGTGGTTGTTAGAGAAAAATATTGTAAAGGTCAAAGACGTGTACGAACACCATTCATTTGTTTGATAAATTGAATAACAAGTACAATATCTAAAGAGAGTCGGTGAAAGTATAGGCAAGGTATAACTTTCTTGGCATATAACAGAAATGAGTGTAACTCTTTCTATTTAATAATAATGGAAATACCTAATATTATTGACTAGTATCTGATAAATATTATTGACACTAATATTAATACTATTTATTACTTGTGGAAAATTTTGAATGTTCCTAAATTCAGCATGTGTAAATTTGAATAATACAATAACCATGTAATAAAATGCGATGCTGATTTGACTCTTTCGAAAAATTTCGAGAGGGGTGTAGAAGAGCTGCTGACACCATGGGGAGGCCATAATGAATTTAATGTGTGAACACTGGGCAGGATGGTGCAATGTAATCAGGCGTTCTCGTAGGTCACTAGAGGACTTCAGTGAATTCTTCCCAACAACAGACCTTAGCTAAGTGATGCTTACTCATAATGTACAGTAGTTTTTGCATTGGCCATCGTAAATCCTAGCAGTTAGGGTACAGTTAGGGTGTGCTCCATCAGCACTGTCTTCCAGTAATTAAATGGTAAGTGTTAATAAGAATTTCCTTTCTAATAACATTAATAATTTATGTATAATAATCACATTCTGTGAAAGAGTAGTGGTCAACAGAGTTAAATCGGAGGCTGCCATAGTGAAGAGCTCTGTTCCACAAGGCACAGTACTCGCCCCCATCTTATTCCTCATCCTCATATCAGACATAGACAGAGATATACATCACAGCACCGTATCATCCTTTGCGGATGATACTAGGACCTGCATGAGGCTGTCATCTGCTGAGGATGCGGTTAACCTCCAAGAAGATATAAACAAAGTTTTCCAGTGGGCAACGGTAAACAATATGATGTTCAATGAGGACAAATTCCAACTACGTTATGGAAAACTGGAGGAGATAACTAGAACAGAGTATACTACAGACTCTGGCCATACAATAGAGCAGAAAAATAATGTAAGGGACCTGGGAGTAGTAATGGCTGAGGATCTCACTTTCAAGGATCACAACAGTGTCACGATCGCACGTGAAAAGAAAATGATAGGATGGATAATGAGAACATTCAAAACGAGAGATGCCAAGCCAATGATGATCCTTTTCAAATCACTTGTTCTCTCTAGGCTGGAATACTGCTGTACATTAACATCTCCATTCAAAGCAGGTGAAATCGCAGATCTAGAGAGTGTACAGAGATCCTTTACTGCACATATAAGTTCTGTCAAGCACCTTAACTACTGGGAACGCTTGGAAGCACTTGACTTGTACTCGTTGGAACGCAGGAGGGAGAGATATATCATAATCTACACTTGGAAAATCCTGGAAGGAATGGTCCCAAATCTGCACACAGAAATCACTCCCTACGAAAGTAAAAGACTGGGCAGGCGATGCAAAATGCCCCCAATAAAAAGTAGGGGCGCCATTGATATACTAAGGGAAAATACCATAAGTGTCCAGGGCCTAAGACTGTTCAACAGCCTCCCATCAAGCATTAGGGGAATTGCCAATAAACCCCTGGCTGCCTTCAAGAGAGAGCTGGACAGATACCTAGTCAGTGCCGGATCAGCCGGGCTGTGGCTCGTACGTTGGACTGCGTGCGGCCAGCAGTAACAGCCTAGTTGATCAGGCTCTGATCCATCGGAAGGCCTGGTCATGGACCGGGCCGCGGGGACCTTGATCCCCGGAATAACCTCCAGGTAACCTCCAGGTGTACCCAGCAAGCAAACCTAATCATATACAGTCCACACAAATTTATCAGAGTAGCTGGTTTTAGTATTGTAATTATTAATTTAATGTCAGGTCTAGCTTTTTGTGAGAGTGGTGAGGAAGTGGGCATCGAAGGAGTTGCAGTTCAGTGACCTACTGTGACTAAGTCCCACTTACCTTACCCAAATTACTTGCAGGTAATAATTCAGGTGATGCCCTGTAAGTACCCTGCCGGTAATTTACTCACATAATAATTTTTCACATTACTATTTTGATAGTAATTAGTTATTATTTATGTTATCGTCCTTGGTGTGATGTATCCAGTGTTGTGGTAACAATCGTCCTTTGTGAAGTTGATGTTTTAACTTATTTCATGATAATTTCAGACACTTAACAGGGAAATTCCCCCCCCCCCTTTCCACTGTGGGTAGTGAAGCCCCATCGTGTCTCAAATTAACACATGAAGGCATTGTAAATCAATTTGTTTCCTTATTTTCATTGTATCAAACTTGAATACCCCTTTCCCATCCACTTTCCTCAAATGTAATTTCTGTAATATGACAGACAAGTGGCTACAACAGCAGCCTGCTGGTAATGACAGTAGTAAATTAGTAAGGTCATCGGCAAGCCCGCTATGACTGCAGCAAACTTGTAGTTATACGAGCAACACTATGTTCAAGTGTTTTTTTTATTGAAAAATAGATCAATCAAGCATTTATTCAATTTCTACATGCTATACACCTCTCCCTATTCATAAGATAAGATAAGATTTCGTTCGGATTTTTAACCCCGGAGGGTTAGCCACCCAGGATAACCCAAGAAAGTCAGTGCGTCATCGAGGACTGTCTAACTTATTTCCACTGGGGTCCTTAATCTTGTCCCCCAGGATGCGACCCACACCAGTCGACTAACACCCAGGTACCTATTTTGCTGCTAGGTGAACAGGACAACAGGTGTAAGGAAACGTGTCGAATGTTTCCACCCGCCGGGAATCGAACCCGGGCCCTCCGTGTGTGAAGCGGGAGCTTTAGCCACCAGGCCACCGAGTATACAAATAGAGAGAGGAGTCTGTGGCGTTAGTGATGCTATCGTAAGCGAGTAGCCTCTCATTTCTTTCTCAGAACTTCAAACTCAGAGTCTACGCTGGAGCCACTCCAAGTCTTACCCAGTGAGCAGAGAAGTAGAGGCCCTTGTAGGCGTCCTTGATGGTGTCGTAGGCGACCTGTTGGCCTTGAGTATCTACCAGTTTGGTGGCTGCTAGCAACTCGCCTATGGGTCGCGGTCGCCAGGGAAAGTTCAAGGCCTCAGGGTCATTAGTGACCATCTCCCGTCCTGCCTTGGTCAGCAGGCGTCCGCTGCGGCTGTCCACAAGCACTAGTGATGGTATCCCTGACACCCGGTACTGGCGTGATAGGCGGATCTGCGGGAGAGAAAGCACGATTACTAAGATAGTTATGCCTTTATTCATTAAATAAACAAGAGAAAAATTAATTACGTTTCACCTATGATTTAATTTTTTTACTTTTATCCAGGGACGAGTGAAATATTGAGTTATATTCCATTTGCCTGATTAGAAATTTAATTTTCACTTTATGTTCTGAAAAGTCACCTCTTATTTAGTGTCCTGTTTTCCATTTTCTAGCTTTATTTTAAGTTGCGTTTCTGTATTGTAATAACATTCAATATAACTGTCTTAATGGGGGAGGATGAGAAAGGGGTACACTGATGGTGGTAAAGGGCTCGTGATCCAGGAAATTAGAGCAATCTCTCCGCTGGATAAAACCTGATACCCTACTATTCTCCAGGCGCTTTATAACTCCTACGGGTTTAGCATTTTGTCTGTGTGGGGGTTGTGAATTGTTAAGTTGTGAGTATATTATATATATATATATATATATATATATATATATTATATATATTATATATATATATATATATATATATATATATATCGTGTCGAATATGTAAAACTTGCGATTCTGGCTTAAATAGCAAAGCCAAATAAAGCCAGCGAAAATTTGTGCATACAATAATTAGGCAAAAATCGTTCTGAACCTAAGGAAAACAATTTATTTCATTGTGCTTGTCCTGGATCCTCTAAAAGACAGAATGCATATGTAATATACACAGACTTTGCAAAAGCCTTTGACAAGTGTGACCATGGCGTAATAGCGCACAAAATGCGTGATCACGGAATAACAGGAAAAGTTGGTGGATGGATCTGTAATTTCCTAACAAATAGAACACAAAGAGTAGTAAACAGAGTAAAGTCTGAGGCGGCTACGATGAAAAGCTCTGTTCCACAAGGCACAGTACTCGCTCCCATCTTGTTTCTCATCCTCATATCGGACATAGACAAGGATGTCAGCCACAGCACCGTATCTTCCTTTGCAAATGACACCCGAATTTGCATGAGTGTCCGTCACTGAAGACACTTCAAGACTCCAAGCGATCAACCAAATCTTTAAATGGGCTGCAGAAAACAATATGAAGTTCAATGATGAGAAATTTCAAGTACTCCGATATGGAAAACGTGAGGAAATTAAAACTTCATCTGAGTATAAAACAAATTTCAACCACACAATAGAACGAAAAGCTAACGTCAAAGACCTGGGAGTGATCATGTCGGAGAATCTCACCTTCAAGGACCATAACACTGTATCAATTGCATCTGCTAGAAAAATGACAGGATGGATAATGAGAAAATTCAAACAAGGGATGCCAAGCCCATGATGACAATATTCAGGTCGCTTGTTCTATCTAGGCTGGAATATTGCTGCACACTAACAGCACCTTTCAAGGCAGGTAAAATTACTGACCTAGAAAATGTGCAGAGAACCTTCATGGCACGCATAACTGCGATAAAACACCTCAATTACTGGGAACATTTGAAGTTCCGCAACCTGTACTTCCTAGAACGCAGGCCGGAGAGATACATGATTATATACACTTAGAAAATCCTAGAGGAATTAGTACAAACTTGCACACGAAAGTCACTCCCTACGAATGCAAAAGACTCGGCAGACGATGCAGCATCCCCCAATGAAAAGCAGGGGTGTCACTAGCACGATAAGAGACAACACAATTAGTGTCAGGGGCTCAAGACTGTTCAACTGCCTCCCAGCATACATAAGGGAAATTACCAACAGACCCCTGGCTGTTTTCAAGCAGGCGCTAGACAGGCACCTAAAATCAGTACCTGACCTGCCGGGCTGTGGTTCGTACCTTGGATTGCGTGCGGCCAGCAGTAACAGCCTGGTTGATCAGGCCCTGATCCACCATGAGGCCTGGTCACTGACCGGGCCGCGGGAACGTTGACCCCCGGAACTCTCTCCAGGTATTATTAAATTATTGTAAAATATCTAAAATATATTTAGTTGGATTAGGCTAAATTAAATTGCGCTTGTTATAATAAGGTTAGGTATGTGTTCTAAGATTATTTTGGTACAAAATTATTAATTTTTACATTAACATAAATGAAAATATATATCTTTAAACGTACAATAGAAAATTTTAGAAAGGACTTAACTTTAAATGAGTTCTTGCTAACTGACCAGTTTTACCTATTTGACACGATATATATATATATATATATATATATATATATATATATATATATATATATATATATATATATATATAATATATTCAACAAGTCGGCCGTCTCCCACCGAGGCAGGGTGACCCAAAAAAGAAAGAAAATCCCCAAAAAGAAAATACTTATATATATATATATATATATATATAATATATATATATATATATATATGTCGTGCCGAATAGGCAGAACTTGCGATCTTGGCTTAAATAGCAACGCTCATCTTGCCATATAGGACAAGTGAAAATTTGTGTATGCAATAATTTCGCCAAATCATTCTGAACCTAACGAAAAAAAATATATTTCACTGTGTTTGTTTAGTATTAAATTATTGTAAACAAATCTAAAATATATTTAGTTGGGTTAGGCTAAAATAAATTGTTCTTGTTATAATAAGGTTAGGTAAGTTTTCTAAGCTTCTTTTGGAGCAAAATTAAAATTTTTATATTAACATTAATGAAAAAAATATATCTTTAAACGTATAAGAGAAAATTTTAGAAAGGGCTTAATTTTAAATGAGTTCTTGCTAATTGACCAGTTTTACATATTCGGCACGAATATGTAAAAGCTGAAGGGGGTAGGAGAGTTTCAGTGGGGGGAAATAAATGGGATTAAATCTGGAGTATCTGAGAGAGTTAGAGCAAAGGAAGGGGTAGCAGTAATGTTAAATGATCAGTTATGGAAGGAGAAAAGAGAATATGAATGTGTAAATTCGAGAATTATGTGGATTAAAGTAAAGGTTGGATGCGAGAAGTGGGTCATAATAAGCGTGTATGCACCTGGAGAAGAGAGGAATGCAGAGGAGAGAGAGAGATTTTGGGAGATGTTAAGTGAATGTATAGGAGCCTTTGAACCAAGTGAGAGAGTAATTGTGTAGGGGACCTGAATGCTAAAGTAGGAGAAACTTTTAGAGAGGGTGTGTAGGTAAGTTTGGGGTGCCAGGTGTAAATGATAATGGGAGCCCTTTGATTGAACTTTGTATAGAAAGGGGTTTAGTTATAGGTAATACATATTTTAAGAAAAAGAGGATAAATAAGTATACACGATATGATGTAGGGTGAAATGACAGTAGTTTGTTGGATTATGTATTAGTAGATAAAAGACTGTTGAGTAGACTTCAGGATGTACATGTTTATAGAGGGGCCACAGATATATCAGATCACTTTCTAGTTGTAGCTACACTGAGAGTAAAAGGTAGATGGGATACAAGGAGAATAGAAGCATGAGGGAAGAGAGAGGTGAAGGTTTATAAACTAAAAGAGGAGGCAGTTAGGGTAAGATATAAACAGCTATTGGAGGATAGATGGGCTAATGAGAGCATAGGCAGTGGGGTCGAAGAGGAGTGGGGTAGGTTTAAAAATGTAGTGTTAGAGTGTTCAGCAGAAGTTTGTGGTTACAGGAAAGTGGGTGCAGGAGGGAAGAGGAGCGATTGGTGGAATGATGATGTAAAGAGGTAGTAAGGGAGAAAAAGTTAGCAAAATGAGAAGTTTTTACAAAGTAGAAGTGATGCAAGGAGGGAAGAGTATATGGAGAAAAAGAGAGAGGTTAAGAGAGTGGTGAAGCAATGTAAAAAGAGAGCAAATGAGAGAGTGGGTGAGCTGTTATCAACAAATTTTGTTGAAAATAAGAAAAAGTTTTGGAGTGAGATTAACAAGTAAGGAAGCCTAGAGAACAAATGGATTTGTCAGTTAAAAATAGGAGAGGAAGTTATTAAATGGAGAGTTAGAGGTATTGGAAGATGGAGGGAATATTTTGAGGAATTGTTAAATGTTGATGAAGATAGGGAAGCTGTGATTTCGTGTATAGGGCAAGGAGGAATAACATCTTGTAGGAGTGAGGAAGAGCCAGTTTTTGAGTGTGGGGGAAGTTCGTGAGGCAGTAGGTAAAATGAAAGGGGTAAGGCAGCCGGGATTGATGGGATAAAGATAGAAATGTTAAAAGCAGTGGGGATATAGTTTTGGAGTGGGTGGTGCAATTATTTAATAAATGTATGGAAGAGGGTAAGGTACCTAGGGATTGGCAGAGAGCATGCATAGTTCCTTTGTATAAAGGCAAAGGGGATAAAAGAGAGTGCAAAAATTATAGGGGGATAAGTCTGTTGAGTGTACCTGGTAAAGTGTATGGTAGAGTTATAATTGAAAGAATTAAGAGTAAGACGGGGGAATAGGATAGCAGATGAACAAGGAGGCTTTAGGAAAGGTAGGGGGTGTGTGGACCAGGTGTTTACAGTGAAACATATAAGTGAACAGTATTTAGATAAGGCTAAAGAGGTCTTTGTGGCATTTATGGATTTGGAAAAGGCGTATGACAGGGTGGATAGGGGGGCAATGTGGCAGATGTTGCAAGTGTATGGTGTAGGAGGTAGGTTACTGAAAGCAGTGAAGAGTTTTTACGAGGATAGTGAGGCTCAAGTTAGAGTATGTAGAAAAGAGGGAAATTTTTTCCCAGTAAAAGTAGGCCTTAGACAAGGATGTGTGATGTCACCGTGGTTGTTTAATATATTTATAGATGGGGTTGTAAGAGAAGTAAATGCGAGGTTCTTGGAAAGAGGCGGGGATTTAAAAATAAAGAATCACACACAGGGGGGGTTGTCACAGCTGCTTTTTGCTGTGCACGTGCTCTTGGGGATTCTGAAGAGAAGTGCAGAGATTGGGGATGAATTTGGTAGGGTTCAAAAGAAAAAAATTTAAGGGTGATCAGGAAAGAGTAAGGTTAGAGGATAACAAAAAGATTAGGTGTGAAAGATTGAATTTCAGATTGGAGGAAAGTATGGAGGAGGTGAACGTATTCGTATTTGGGAGGGATGTCAGCGGAGGGGTCTA